TTAAAACTTGTTCTTTCGAGGCCTCGTAATGATGTTGCGCCCAAGGCCACCAAAAGTATAAATGCGGCCCTGATTGCAGTGGTTGAAGAATAAAAGAAACAAATTTCTTGAGTTCTGTGAGAGGTGGAAGAGTATTGTGAATTTTGAGAACATGTCAATACTCGAGAGCAAATTTAAATTAATTCAGAAAAATATATATTTGATACTGACATATTTATTTTAATGTAAATATCTACGAATACGCAAAATAAGTTGGTCCCAAGTGGGTTGAGAGAGAATATTGTGATGACAGCAGACTAATGAGGTAAAGATAAGTAATGGTGTAATAACGGTGTAAATAATAATATGGATACATAATATAATCTTGATGATTTACAGGAATATTATAGATTTATATTTTGGCTTCCAAACAGCAAATTTTGTCCGATCGTAGATTTTTACACATAATAGTCAAGAAAAAAGAATTTGCTGAAGTTCACATGTGTTGAATAGGAAACAAATTCATAACACATTCATAAAAATTCATAATCGCGATATTCACGTAATGTTTTTGTACAAGTTTAGACTTGGAAAAACTGCGATCGAAACTGCTGAAGATATAAATTTTGCATTTGAAGAAGATTATATAAGTGTTAAGACACGTCAACGTTAGTGTATAAGATTTAAGATGGGTGACTTTACATTGGAAATGAGCCAAGAGGAAGGCCAGATAGAGCCTAGGATGATAACGTTGTAAGAAAAATTATTGAAAACAATCCACGGTAAAGAATATGAAATTTTGCCACATCCTCTCCTATTCACTCGACCTTTTCCCGACCGATTACCATTTCTTCAAATGCCTGAAAAATTTTTTTAACAAATAAATTATTCCGAAATGAAGATACTGTAAAAGTAGCATTCAAAGACTAATAATTTTTATAAATTTGGAATAATGAACTACATACACATAAATTGTTTATTGATCAACAGATACCTATTTATATTAATATGTATAAATAATTTAATCTATAATAAATATAAATTATTAATGCATAAGTGTTCCTAAGTTTATAAATAATTTTATTAAAATATATACACTATTGATACATATAGATTATATTATTTATATACTGTATTCTTATTGTGTATTTATAAACGTGTAAATAATAGTATGGATACGTAATTTGATATTGATTAATTTTCCTTATGAGATATTAATATATGTACATATATTGAGATAATTGCTTGACTAATCGTGTTTCTTAGGAGATCGTAACAGCACAGAGTTTCCTATGTAATTATTTAGGCATACGTTTCCAAGGAGATTCATAGAAAACTAATTAAACGTGAACACTGATTTAAATTTAGATACGTCGAAGAATGAAGCACTCTGACTAGAATAATAAACAGCACGACCTGAATAGAATATTCCGTATTAAACAGTTCCCTGTGAAAAATCGACCAAGTACAAACAACTGTTTGAACAAAGATTATTCCCCCCCGAATCGGTGGCTCTCTGCTAGATATGAATATGAATATGCTCCAGATACTCCTTCCTGCTAATAACGGGCTAGACAACCGCAATAAATATCGCTGGAAAACAGGGGAACCTTTGTTTGCTCAGCGAGTATATAAAAATTCCGGAGCAAACGTACATAAATAATCGAACACCAAAAAAAAAAGAAGAAGAAGAGGGGAGTTTGTAAGCGTGTGGTGCGCTCTTGATCGATGAAAATTCGCGTGCAGACGATAATCGAGGGAGGGAAACTGTAAGGAGGGAAAAAAGCGGGGGAAAGGTGAGAGGGACGAGGAGAAGATCACCTGGCCGTCCTAATCAAACAGAACGTACGAATGCTACGCAAACAATATGTCCATGACCACGTCGTGGAAATGCCGAAAGCGTCGGTCGAAGCGGCACATTATTGTAGCCTAACTGCAAAGTCGAGAGAAAGAAGGATGAACAGGGAATTCTATTTTCCTCTCTTTCTAACCGCTTTGTTTTCCATTCCCACGTTTCCTATCTTTTCAACTTCTATTCTTATTCGACGCCTCTATATTTTGGTGGAAAGAACACCAATTTAGGCTAAACATGCAGTATGTAATCGAGAAAATTTTTATGACCATCGAGTAATAGATTGCACCATTGTTTTCTTCGATTCGTCATTCGTTTATGAAATACGTTTACGACATACCGTGAATGATGATGTATACAAGGATTGTGAGTCATTATTTTGGGCAAACAGTATGATTCATTGACAGTCCTAAGTATTCAAAATATAAACAGAACGGGCTCGTATTTTGAGAGTTTTAATTGATTGCTTTTGGAGCAGATTAGAATTAAACTGATACATACGTTTAAGTTAACCATTTCCAGTGACCTTTGGTTTAGCTTCTCCTCCACCATGGACATGACTTTGGAAACCAGACCCTCCTCACATGCTTTATTGGCCTGCCTGATTTCGCGAATAAAATCTGGAACATTTGAAACATTTATAATTGATGCAAGTATATTTATCAGTAATGTTTATCGGTACGTTTATGCAGTACGTTTATCATTTTAATCAGAGTTGGATTAAAAATCAAGGATTACAACAGATAATGCAACAATTTTTGTAAATGCTTACCCGATAACATTCCTGGTTGATAATCTGTAGAATTGCTGTATTTACACTGTGCCAACTTTGCCTTCATACTGCCTAATTCAGACTTTGTTTCGTTTAACTCTTTGAACAGTTGACTATTGCTCTTTTTCAGTTCTGTCATCTGAAAATAGAATGACATAATTATTAATATTTTTCATCAAAATTTAAGCACAAATAACCCATGTATATTTGTCAGAAATTAATTCACCTGTTCAATAAGAGACAAAACAAGCTTATTGCCACGACCAATCGTTGTAATGGAGCTTCCACTGTCGACACTGTCAGAGTCTTCACTCGGAGCATGAACTGGGGCTTCTGCAGACCCAAGACCAGGATCAGAATACCTTCGGTGCTCTGAATTCAACTCATCTCCGTTCATTCCATTATTTTTGTTAGCAGTAGGTGGCAAGCTTGCATAGTCCCCATTTTGGTAGTTAATAGGTACAGGAGATTCCATTCCATTTTCTTGCAAGCTTGTATAACCGTTTGCCATAGAATTCATACCCAAATTCATTGGGTGGTTTTGATTACAATGTCGCCTTGGTCTACCATGAACAGGTCTGACACCAGAGAATGGCACTGGTTGATACAACCTATACATGGTTGGCAGTGAAACAGGTTCCATGGTGTAAGTCATGGGCATCTGTGCATAGCCACACATGCTGGGATCAGATGTCGTTGTGAAGAGACGCTGTCCATTGTTTGGAATGTTCTGCTGCACGTTAGACTGCCATAATACATGCTGATACTCCATACCAGATACCGTGTCGTTATTTTGATTGTTTTGCATGCTATTCATCCACGAACCAAGCACACTACTTCTCTTGCTGGATCGTTTTTTGTTCTTCTTGGAGTGATTAGAAACATCCTCGCGATACCCTGATCTCGACGTGTCCAACCTGCTAAAATTTCGTTTCCGTTGAGTAAATCGATGAATAGACAATAATGATTTCAACAAGATCACGAGAAACATCACGCCTTACCTTTTGTCCATTTTTCACGGACGATCTACACCGTGTCAGAGGTTAGTCGTAGATCAGCACTCGCGGTGTACGTGACATGGAGACTTGAAGAGATATTATGCCGCAACGCGTACGCTGAATTACTGGCGTTCCGATTCGTACAAGCTCGAGCTTGGTAACTCACGTTAAAACATGAGTCGTAGTAATAGTAAATACGGACGGTAAACACTCGACCCGCTGCTCTATTCAGAATCGGTCGTTATCACTTCGTGGCTGATTGGTTGAATGAATCCCTACCATTTCTTGACCGCAAAACGTGATTACTTGTTCGATGACACCGCGAGACCCGTTTTTCGATCTTCGAAAACATGTTACGATGAATCGTTCAATAACGTTTACGATTACCGTCACGCACGCTTGCGGTTAAACTTGTCACATACATTCGCTTTTTGCGGCAGATCTTGATCTTTATTTACGAACAAATGTCAAGAACATCGTGTATTTAATAAATCGTACGATGATAATGCTTGTTCGTAGTGTCCCCAGATGATTTTAGTTAAATTTAGAATTATGTAGCTCCACGGATCAAGGATAATTATTTTGTAAGATTATCGCGCAAAAAAAGAGGCGCAAATTGAGCCGGTTTATCGTATCCATAGAATTGAATTTATAATTTCCGTATCAATAAGGAAACGAGAAAGCACTATAAAGTACTACAAAGTAGTATTTTAGAAAATTATAGGAAATATTAAAAAATATTAAAAATATTCTTTACTTGCAAATTCACGTTCGAATACCGACCTGTGACATTAAAAGACGCACTACGCATGCGCCATAGTGGATCTCAAGCTTCCAAGTGACGTGGCTTCAATGACGGCACGAGTTGTGCTGTTACGGTGAAATTGTGTCGTTTTAATTCAATTGTAAAATAATGTTGTAATTATGAGAACTTGATACTAGGGATTATTTAAAGTCTTTTTGAACTCGTTGTTGGGAATTCACGATAATTGTACGTTGATTTAATTAAGTCTGTTTAACCTAAATTCGCCTATTACATCTTCCCACTTGTCACATATCTAAAAAGTGTAGGTGTGAATTAAATTTCGATCCATTTCTTTACCATATGGTTATTCGTGATTGCAGAAACATGACCACTTATGAAGACTTTATTCAACAAAATGAAGACCGTGATGGAGTACGTTTCACTTGGAATGTTTGGCCCTCATCACGTGTTGATGCCACCAGACTAGTTGTGCCATTAGGAACACTTTACCAACCAATTAAAGATAGACCAGATCTTCCACCTATACAGTATGATCCTGTGCTTTGCACAAGATCTACCTGCAGAGCAATTTTGAATCCACTGTGCCAAGTGGATTATCGTGCTAAACTATGGGTGTGCAATCTATGTTTTCAGAGGAATCCTGTAAGGATCAATTCATTTTAATAATAAAACTAAACATCACTTCCTTGATTTAATGAACTCATATTTTGATGTTTAATATTTCTAGTTTCCTCCACAATATGCTGCCATTTCGGAGCAACATCAACCAGCAGAACTAATTCCAATGTTTTCCACAATTGAATATACCATAATGGTGAATAGTACTTACTCTTTAAAATAAATATTCATTTTTATTTGTTCAATTTGTACTAATTTTTATTATTTTTATACAGAGGGCACAATGCTTACCACCCATTTTCTTATTGGTGGTGGATACATGTATGGATGAAGAAGAACTGGGTTCTCTCAAAGATTCTCTACAAATGTCACTCTCCTTGCTTCCACCAAATGCTCTTATTGGTCTGGTTACATTTGGAAGAATGGTCCAAGTCCATGAATTAGGTTGTGAAGGATGCAGTAAAAGTTATGTTTTTCGTGGTACCAAGGATTTGCAACCAAAGCAAGTTCAAGATATGTTAGGTATGTGCCTGCATTTACACAATATAAATGAAATGTGAAGTACACGTTAATTCTCGTGTATTGTAGGCATAGGCAGGCCAGTTCCAAATCAGAATCCAAACCAGCAGAGAGGACCCGGTGGACAACCACTACCGCCAGCCAATCGCTTTCTGCAGCCTGTACATAAGTGTGATATGAATTTAACGGACTTATTAGGAGAATTGCAACGTGATCCCTGGCCGGTTGCTCCAGGAAAACGTCCATTGCGTTCTACTGGTGTTGCGTTGGCTGTTGCTACTGGCCTTTTGGAGGCCAGTTATGCCAACACAGGAGCTAGGTACATAATTTATATTATAATTATTATATTTGAACATTTCATAAGAATTTTAATATCTTGTTCAGAATAATGTTGTTCGTCGGTGGACCTTGCTCCCAAGGACCCGGTCAAGTGGTTACAGACGACTTGAGACAGCCCATAAGATCACACCACGATATCCACAAGGACAATGCTAAGCATATGAAGAAAGCAACCAAACATTACGATTCTCTTGCTTCACGGGTTGCAACGAACGGGCACATAATAGATATTTACTCCTGTGCTCTTGATCAGACTGGGCTGTTGGAGATGAGACAATGTTGCAATTCAACAGGTGGTCACATGGTTATGGGTGACTCGTTCAATTCCTCCTTGTTCAAACAAACGTTCCAACGCGTGTTCGCTAAGGACAGTAAAGGCGACTTGAAAATGGCATTTAACGCGACGTTAGAGGTGAAAACGTCGCGTGAGATTAAAGTTTCTGGGGCGATTGGACCCTGCGTATCTCTAGGAATGAAAGGGTCGAGTGTTGGTGAGCAAGAAGTAGGATTGGGTGGCACATGTCAATGGAAGTTCTGTTCCCTCACACCGTCTACCACTACAGCGTTATTCTTCGAAGTCGTGAATCAACACACCGCGCCAATTCCACAAGGCGGAAGAGGCTGTATTCAGTTCATCACACAATATCAACATAGTAACGGCCAACGAAGAATCAGAGTTACTACAATTGCAAGAAAGTATGAAAATACTGGATAGAATTATTATCAGGTGTTACTACTGAATGTAAAATTGACAAAATTTATTTATCATAGTTGGGCAGACGCTTCGACATCTTTACATCATATAAGCGCTGGATTCGACCAAGAAGCAGCTGCTGTTCTCATGTCACGTCTGGCAGTCTTCAGGGCAGAGAGTGACGACGGACCGGATGTTTTAAGATGGGTCGATCGTATGCTTATTAGACTGGTCACTATTCTTCACTAAACTTGTATTTGGTACACAATATGATGAATTTAATTTTTCTAACGTTAGATATTCCTATTACAGTGTCAAAAATTCGGAGAGTACACAAAGGATGATTCAAACAGCTTTAGGCTCGCGGAGAACTTCTCTTTGTATCCTCAGTTTATGTACCACTTACGCAGATCGCAATTCCTACAAGTATTCAATAATTCCCCAGATGAAACTAGTTTTTACCGGTTAGCTGTTTTACTCTGGTTTCTCGATATATGTATTGAAGTGTTACGTTATTAAACGATTTTTTAATGTTGCAGACATATGCTCATGCGAGAAGACTTAACGAATTCCTTGATCATGGTACAACCAATCTTGTATAGTTACGGATTTATCGGTCCTCCGGAACCAGTTTTATTAGATACCTCGTCTATTCAACCAGATAGGATTTTATTGATGGACACATTCTTCCAAATTCTTATATTCCACGGAGAGGTGATTTTTTTATTATCATCTGTAAGTGATAAAGAATATTAACATAATGTTCATTGATTGGTTACAGACTATTGCACAGTGGCGTCAATTGAAATACCAAGATTTGCCTGAGTATGAGAATTTCCGACAACTGCTGGCAGCACCTGTTGATGATGCTGCTGAGATATTAGCAGGAAGGTTCCCTGCACCCAGGTATATCGATACTGAACAGGGCGGTTCGCAAGCGAGGTTTTTGTTAAGCAAAGTGAACCCGAGTCAAACTCATAACAACATGTATGCGTATGGAGCGGTAAGTACATCCTATATTCAATCTTTTTTTCTAAATAATTTCATTCATGATATTACATTTTTTTTATATTTGAAATATTTTACTTGTCGTTCATTTTCAAAGACATAAACATTAAAAACAAGTCAGACATGTAACTAATAATTTTTTTATGTCACCGCGGTCCTGCAACCAGGGGATGCCGATACCCAGTGGGGTGTGTTTTCATTCATTTGATAATTATATGTTTCTTTTTTTTTGTACTCGCTTTCATTGCTTTGGTAATGGAATTAGGTGGAGGCAATTCAGCAACCTACACAGCTGATAATTGTTCATCAAAATAATATTTTTTTTTTTAATCATAATCCAACAGTATTAAAATATATAACAGATTACTCAAAAAGTTTACAGGAACATAGGTATTGGGTCGTCTTAATCTATCTCACGTTATTTAACATAATTTCACATTGTAACAGAGCAAGCATATAATTCGCCACGTTTTAACAATTTTTGTACAACGGTATGTCACAATTCACTGGTGGTTGGCATCGAAAATTTCTTCTTTTTTATTAAAATTAAAATACATTTTAATGTATTATAACTAACTCCAATCTATTTCTATCGGTTTGGGAAGCGTTTTATTAATTCAACAATTATCAATCTTGATTTCTAATAAATGTTTGTTGTAATTTAGGAGAGTGGAGCGCCTGTCTTAACTGACGATGTCAGTCTACAAGTATTCATGGAGCATTTGAAAAAACTGGCTGTGTCGTCCACGGCTTAAATTGCAGCAATACGATAAAATATTTCCTCATCATTTTGCGTATGCAAAATCTAGTGCTTCGGGCATCGTGATGAGGTGTCGATAGTTACAATCTATTAAAAAGGATAAAACAAATAGATGCAATAAGGATTTCTATTATACTGAAAATATATGATTAATTAAATGTAATTTCTCAATATTTTTTCCGAAGTCAAGGTATAATTTGTGTATAAATAAAGTACATAGTATTAGCGTAATGCATATTTTACATATATATTTTCAATTTTTTTAAACATTTTTTTTTTTTTTTTTTTTTAATTTTGGAAGATTATAAACAGTGTAACAAGACGAATAATGAATTAGACATAATAAACTGTAAGAACAATGAAATTTATACGCTATAGATCACAAAATGCTATATAATTGTACCATTTTTTATTAATTAAAATTGCAGCTGTTTTAATAACAATTTTAAAAAGAAATGGAATTTACTATTTGTCCTTCCAATGTAAAATAAACGAGGGTAAATATAAGAAATTAACTATCATTTACTATTAATTAGAATACATTTTAATGTGAGTGACCAACACATCAGCAAATTGTGCATTTTTATTAGAAAAAATTTAATTAACTAAGGAACCTTATAGACATTTTTTGTTCTACATCTGTCCTCTCTAGTGCTTTACAAAATTCCTCAAATGATATCATGCCATCGCCATTCTCATCAGCCTCTAATATAGTTCTTTCTGCAATACTAGTTAATTGTTCCTCGCTGAAATAAATAAGTATCAATGACTCAAATATCTAATTGTTATTTTCTATTGAAATTAATTAGCTAGAAAACGTTTTTTACCTAATATTTGCACCAACCATCATGTGCAAAATTGCTAGAAGTTCATCCTTTGATATTAAATCATCATTATCCAAGTCATACATTTTGAATGCAACTGAAAATAACAATGAATTTATAATATACCAGAAAATTTTTTGATTACATTTTATGGTTAACTTACATCTCAATTTCTCTTCCCTAGAATTTAATCTGTCTGGACTATTATTTTTAATAGGTCTAAAGTGAGCCAGCACTTGCATAAATTGTAGGAAATTCACCCTATCATTACCACTTTCCTCAAAGAAAGCATTTACAATCCTATCACCCAGAGGATTTATTGCTAACTCTGGTATCCTCAGGAAATCTTCCCTGCTAAGTGTTCCACAGTCTCCACGATCAAGGCTAGTGAAACGACTATACAACCGTTCTATTTGATTTGGTGTAACTATAACCATGTCAAAATAGTAACTGGATTATTACAAACATATTAATATATCATTTTAATATCCTTTACGCAAATGTGCATTGTTATTAGTAAAATAGTTAGCAAAATAAATATTTCAGATTACAAAATTCATACAAACTATTTGAGTTTATACACTTGCGTTATAAGGTAATAATTAAATGTTAAACGTTTTTTAAACAATAATAGATAGAAATATTATTTCGATAATAAGACTTACATCCAGTGGCTTCTTGAATTTGCGCTATTTCTTCTTCGCGCAAAAGAAGGCTAGATCTGTTACCCATATTTTTCTAATATTAAAATTGGAAAGTTTTACAACACCTACGTCTAATAATTCTAATCTAACGTGTCTATTCTAATTCATATTTAATTTCCTTGATCAAAGTACAGTGTCCAAATGGGATTATGACAGGTGACAAGCTAATCGCAAGTGTCAAAGGTAACTGATAAAACGGAAATCTTAAGGCTGATATACAACGTGTTGCGGAAGTATTTCGATTGATGAAGTGGGTAAATGGAACATACATATGATACTCTTTAGCAATCTTTTGCAATCACTCCATTTTAACCAAAATTTAACGCGTACAATTTTTCCCAATTATTTGCACTCTATAATGAGCTCATTTCTAATCTAACGCTGAACACAAATATAACAAAATACGAGTGGTGCCACAATTGAGATGAAAAAAGATTAACGTATTTCATGTTCTAGGTATTTTATGATCATTATGTTTCCATTATTGTATTCCCTAGGCCATTACTCGTGTTCATAAACTATCAGGGAATAAAAATCTTATAAAGAAATAATAAAATTCTCTTATTTATATTTATTTCGTATAATCATTGTCATTCATTATCATTACTCTATATTGTTTAAAATTTATCAATTTGATAAAAATTTATTTATGTCGATAGATCCTTTATTTTGCATGCTTAAGTTTCCTTTTTTTATATAGAAAATTATTGCTCGAATCCATACATATATAAATTACATAAATATTTATACATTACTTCGTATGATCAGTACTTTGAATATGACATTCTATTAAGTAGTTTTCATTCTTAGTAAATTCAAATAATTACGAGATTATGAGTTTGCGCTGTGACGTTTCGATTCCAACGTCAGTGACCAGGAAGTGACGTTCTTACAGCAGTGTCCACGTAGCGGCTTAACTTCTGACGAGCGCAGTTTTTTGTACGTCAAATAACACTTTGAGAAACGTTCTCCAGTCGTACGCAACGTGAGTATCGTGTTTTCGTGAATTATTACTGAATCTTTTTCCATAAAATTAGGAAAAACATTCACGATAAATTAGTTAACGTATGTTATAACCTACGAGTTATTTTCTGTTATTAACGAGCTCGAAATTAGGTGTATATATATAGTGTCGAATCCCAGTGAAATATAACACAATTTATAAAGTGTACTATAATTGTAAAAGCATATGTGATTTTGCACACAGCTCGCATGAAATTTTACATCGATTCTATCTATTTGTTCTAATTATAAAAACCGAGCATAACTGTGCCTCTGTCAACGTACATTTCGTTACCCGGAACGATTTTATTTTCAGTTTCACAAGCATAATGGATCAAGTGAAGAAGCTTACTGAACCTGGACGTCAATTTGCAAAAGACAGTATTCGTCTTATTAAACGTTGTACAAAGCCTGACAGAAAAGGTAAGTCTTTGATGGAACTAATTAGCAATTGAACTATATAACGTACTATTTGGTGTCCTTTAGAATTTCAGAAAATTGCCATTGCCACAGCCATTGGTTTTTGTATAATGGGCTTTATAGGATTCTTTGTTAAATTAATCCATATTCCTATTAATAACATCATTGTGTAAGTAAATTTAAATCTTGTGCATTCTTAATTTGATCTTTTTAAACAGTTGTATTTATATATTGTTTGTATCTTTCAGGGGTTCGTAAACTCACCTTGAGTAGGTACAATTAAGGTTTAAGATGATTATTTCCCCTGTTCTCCCTTCCTGCGTATCTTTATTTATAAGATAAAATTATGTATTTTGTTTTGAACTGATTGTGATTGAGATATGAGAATGTGTGTGTATAATATTAATATTGAATTTTATAATAAAATGTATGTATAATATTTACTGCTGTTCTGATTTTTATCCTAAGTCCTAGGGACTAGTTCCATGCAAAAATAAAAAAATAGGTATTAGTATCGAAGGCACTTTTATTTGAAGAATAAAATTTTCCCTTAGGTTACAACGATAAAATTTTGTCAGCCATTTTTCTAGTATCAATTCAATGCATTTCTCCTAAGGAAAAATAGCTGTCGCATGGAAAACCATGGCCAGGTACTCAGTAATAAAAGACAATAGTACGATTTTGTTACAATGAATAAAATCTTATATACTGTTTGCTATTTTGTTATTAAAGTTATTCTGCACTTATCCTCTAGAAAGACTTCTTTTTTAATACACATTACTAATAAAACAACGAACCTATAAGCCAGATACTATAAGCGACTGTATCTGGAATTTTAATAATGGCAGTATATATTGGATAGCAAACGTAATTATATCAAAATACACTCTATTTTTTTTTTTTTTTCAAAAAAAAAAAACAATTTTGTTCGCGATTTCTCATAAACGGTATGTTTTACAAACTCGGTCGGAATATTTTTCGCCTAAACAAAATGCAATACTTTCAAACAGTCTGCATATTAATGTGCGACAAAATAATAGAATCGCTGTTTAAAATTTGTTACACATCCAATATTTAAAATTTCTCAGTACGTCGATAATATTGATAATAATTTTACCGTTCTCGGATTCTTCCCTCAAGCTGTTAACAATAGAAAAAGACTCGTATATAAATATAAACTCTGTCGTCAAATACGTCTGATACCATTATTTTCAGAGAACTCTGCATTAGTAAATAGACATCAATAATATACGTTTAATAACATGTGTATTAAAC